GGTGGGAGGGTGGGGGGTGGCGAGTCTGGAGCTCAAAGAACTAAAAATCTATGTTGAGGTCTGCCAATATCTGTGAATGTGTACAATATACTATCGGCTACTGATAAAGTTTTATACCACTAGTTTTCAACTTATCCGATCGTCCAAACAAATTCCGTAATTGAATTTTCTGCACTACCATGCAAGACCCAATTAATGAAACAATCACAGTGTCTAAAGTCACTGGAGTAGAACGAATACAATTCCTTTAAGGTTAATACCTGCTTAGACAAGCAGACATAAACTGCGCTATCAACACTTCTGACAGGCAGTAGGAATGGGTCCACAAGACAGGACAAGGGTAGGGTCGTAGACGCGGGCCTCGGTCGTAGAGGTCAGTCTGCGGTCATCTTGTGTATGAACGAAAATTATAACTAAATACAGAGCACTGGAGGATTCAATGGATGGTGAATTTTCTGATAAGTGATGATCCTTGTTCGTCTTCGGATGGACTGCATTTTTCCCTTCATTAAAAAAAACATTTTTATCATTGTTTTTTTTCTACAATGAGCAGTTACCCAAACGATGAGCAGGCTCTACTTCTGTAGTTTCGACTTGAGAATTCTTCTCTATGTAATTCTTCGTTCACTTCATACCTCGATTTTTTAAAAAATGAACTACAACAGCAAAACAATGACAACCCTGATTTAAAAAATAGCCCATAAATTTAGTGCTCCTACTGAAAAAAAGAATTAAAGGGGGCCCATGGCCTATAAGTTTCACAAGATGCACAGGCTACAATTTTTTGTTTTGTTTTTTTGTTTTATATGGGCAGCTTTTGCAATTTTTATGCCCCAATCCCAGAATACAAAGCCTGTTTTTTCTACCTTGTTTGCACTCACAGAACTGTTGAAAAAGAAAGTCTAAAATATTTTTTGTGCTTGGAAATATGATTTTTGTTTCTAAAAAAGTCTTCTTTTTTTTAAAATTATAAAGGAGGAAGCAAAATACATGCATGTATAGGCCTAGTAGAATAATAACAAAATTGACTTACAACATGCCAAATATCTGGCAAGCAACAGGAAGTCACCAGCAAGACAAAAAAAAAAAGGGTTTGCCCTCTTTGCCCTTCATCTCCAACCAATGAATGGCCGAGGAAATGGCACGTGACAGGATTACCAATCCCTTCCTTCAGGTTACCAACCTCGCTTTCGTCCTTTTCATTTACAGCGACCATCACGACGTGGTGCAGATTCTGACAGGCGCACAGCCAATTCCTTCTGTTGACCTGCAGCAACTACAAACTAACCAAGGTAAGGATTAAACTTAACTTTTTATGTTGATTGTGTGTGCTACTTCTTTACTTGGTGTTTGTTTTCCAGCTTAAGAAAATGAAATAGTTCTGTTCACTGATAGAATCTAGCAGATCTGCCTCATACTCGTACTTCCCTGAACACCCTCTCGTCTTTCAAGTTCATACCGGTCATTTTTTGGTGGAAGAAAGAGCCGTGCTGCCTGTATCACTGTTTACACATTTTCAACGGCCTTGTCTAAAAATCAAAGATAATAGCAATTTTAGTGACCGGAGGAGTATTCTTGTTTTTCCTCTGTTCTGTCCAGTTCGACACATCGAAGTGTTGGCCGGTGTCTGGAAAATCAGACGCATGCAAATTCGGACTATCAAGAGATATGAATTTAACTCCACACCTCTACTCAAGTGGGTAGGCTATTAGAATGATTGCAACTTTGCACATTCTTTCATAGTTTCTTTTAAGACAAATGTATTGTCATAGATAACTTGTGTGTGACTAGTTTTAGTTTGGTTCTGTCATTTATACTTGTCATGTGAGTATATGACTTTCCTGTGACTGACCCACCCAGAGGACAAAAGGGCAAAATAACTGAGCACTGTAAATCATGATCTAATAGTATAGACTATAGATTCTAGGCCTTTAAAGAATTGGATGCCTTAAGTGCAACATAAAGTATGATGAAGAGATATTTTACTGAAAACTAGCGATTCATTTCTTTTAGTTTTTCTATGTTGTATTGTCTTTTCAAACAAATCCTTGATTGGTTTTTGTTGGCTTGATTTCTGTTCAAGTAGACATGGGTGAGAATGATTAAATTGTTCGTCATGCTTTTGTCTTTTGTTTGATATTTATCATGGCTGTTTGGAGAAGGGTTGAAAGTTCTGTTCTGTCTCATGAATTGTGTGAAATGCATTGGAAGCACTTCAGATTTTATTCAAATCTAGATTTTGTGGGTGGTTGGCGGGGGCTCTGGTTTGGTTTGCTTCTTCTTTCCTATCAAACATCTATCGTCCTTAACTCCCCTTCTTCTTTTTTATGTTTGTTTCTCTCTTTGTAACACCTCTAATCTTCTGGGGCTCATATGACCTTATGCAGTTGCGAGCTCTGTAAAACAATTACTAAAAAACCTTTAGGCCCAATCTTCTGGCGCTCATATGACCTTATGCAGTTGCGAGCGCTGTAAAACTCTACTAAAACTAACAATTATCCGCCGTCTGCTTGCTAGGCCAGTCACGGTTTCACCAGAGCCCCTTTAGCCAGCAACGCTTCGGGGTGACCTGGGTCGGCCTTCACGGCTAGCGTAACGCCTCAGTGACATTTTTTAAAAGTCACACCGTACTTCACCCAGACCCAGCTATCCCCTGCTTTGGGAAGGTGTTTGAAATATTGAAATACCCCCAAAAATGACAGTCTTCAGCGCATGCTGACCCAAAAAAGGCTTTTCTCCAGTGGGTTAAAGATGACATAAATGTTTTCAAAGATAATTTTTATCACGAAATATAGACTCTATATAAAATGCCGGCTCAAAAAAAAAAAGGTACATCTACTGATGGAAAGATCGGTTTATTTTCTATTAGAATAAAGTGATCGGCTTGGAAATATTTTGCATCAATCCTTCTGCGAAAATCTAAAACCATGTGCCCTCTCGAGGGGGAGCACTCAGTACACTTCACTACAGTAAAGAGCCAACTCGTTTGCCCCAGGGACCGGTGCAACGCCGGCCAGTTCAGCTCTCGGTGTTTTTGACAAATCATCGTGTTTGAGGCAATGAAATACTGATTTGCAATGGTCTCAGTCTTGAAAAAAATTAGGCTCCATATCTGTTATAGTGATTGTACTCTGTTAATGTGGAGATGTTTGGTGTACAATCGAACTTGTGTAAGACGGCCACCCATTGTCAAGGAGAAAAGTGGCCATATAAGGCGGGCGGCCGTCTCAGGCAGGTCTGATCAAGATGAAGACGAAGAAAACAAACCATTCCTTTCTGAGGTCCCAACCGAAAGTAGCTGCATTGTTGTTGTTTTCGCTGGGTTTTCTGTTCTTTTGTTGCTGCTTTTGTGCAAAGTTGACAATAAAACGGAATGTGTCAGACAAGGCGGACCGAGTGCTATGGTAAAACAAACACACGGGTCGCCACCACTCGGAGAACGAGCGACCCTTCTGTCACAAGTTCATGTTGATGTCCATTGTTACTTTGTTACAGACTAGGTAAACAGTGACCACTCATCTCACGATTTGTGTATGAGTTCTGGGCGGGGCTTATGGGTTATGGGGGAACAAGCTTACCTCACCAGCTGCTGAAAATTTGTTACCTATTGGTCAACAGGGGGAGGGGCCTACGCAACATGATCGGTTGGAGGGATTACCTAACAATAACATGTGATTGGATTATGACGGCTCGCCAACAATGCCAGGGGCGAATGCATGATTTATGACAAAACGTAATGGCGTCACTAAGGTGGCCGTCTAAGACAGGTGTTATTGTTTGGTGTGATAGGTGTTGTGTGTTAAAATATGGTGGCCGCGTTGGACAGTTGCCCGTTTTACAGTTAAATTATATCGAAAAAACGCGCGGGGGGGGGTTGGCAAGTGGTCATTTGTACGGGTGGCCGTCGGCGTCAGGGCAGGTTCGACTGTACTTGGTACTTTTTCATTTTCTGTGGTGCAGCGGCCCATGACAGCCGAAATACGATATGCCATAGAAATATTACACAAAAATGCGAATACGAATGTTGGCAAATTCTTCATTTGAATGTCTTTGAGTATGTAACAGAAACTAAATTTTCAAAGTAGCTCTATGCCAAATTTAACTGTTCCATGAAAGGCCTGTCTCCTGAGAATTTTGGTACTATTCTTTTACCTCAGTCAATTTTTAAGAAAATATCAGCTGTTTTAAATTTGATAAAAAATATTCCTTAATTGCTAACTGGCTGCAACCTCATGTTAGACATATGATACCTGGTGGGTTAACCACTTTGAGTCTGGTATGTCATGAAAATTTGTAATTTTAGCGCTGTGCTGTACCATGTATGTGATGGAAGTTGGTAAAATTTGCCATTCCTGGTTGCCTATTTATGTCGTTACATGTGCAACATGCTAATTACCCGACCCAAATTCTTCTGTACAAAGTTTTAGGTAGGCCTACAAGCGCTGCATAGATTCGTATTTGGAAATAAAACATGCTCCAGTCGGTACCAAATTTACTTGTATTTCCTTGCTGGGCTTGCGCGATCAATAAACATAGAACTAGGCTCTCTTAAAGCGTAAGCATCAAAATGAATTAAAAGGGCAAGTAATTTCACTTTTTAAATTAGATTTGCTGATTATTCGAAATTAGGAGTAAAATGGGAGGGAATGAGAACAGTGAGATAATGGAAGACCCGACGTCCGAAATATGTCACGAGGATGCTAAATGTAGACTGTGCGTCCATTAACACTGAGACATTAGGCTGCTGTCCTGGGTAACGAGGTCAGCTGAAAATTAATGCATTGTATTTGGCACTTGGAGGATTAACAACCAGCCTTCAAGTCGTATGTTGGTGGACTGATGTCTGTGGTGCAGTTACGCGTGTTTGGTTGGTAGTTGGCCCTGACAGTTTGGAAGACCACCTCCTAATTGATCAAAATTGTGTTGATGGAGGCAGTAAAAATTACATTTTTATGTTGGTGGGTTTTGTTTTTTCCCTCCTTGCTTTTTTTAGTCCAGTAATTTAGCTCACTGACTGCATGAGTGCATGTGTCAAGCTATTTCGACACTCTTATAGTCTTAAATTCCTGTAAGTCTTGTCCATAGCTAAGCTTGCCAAGTGGGTGGTTGGCGGGTGCTGTGGTGTGGTTTGCTTCTTCTTTCCTATCAAACATCTATCGTCCTTATCTCCCCTTCTTCTTTTTTATGTTTGTTACTCTCTTGTAACACCTCTAATCTTCTGGTGCTCATATGACCTTATGCTGTTGCGAGCGCCGTAAAACCTCTACTAAAACTAAACTAAACTAAGCTAGCCAATATAGCCTGTATATTTCCCCATTTTTATTTCAAATTTCGATGGTGGGTGCTCTGGTGTGGTCTGCTTCTTCTTTCCTATCAAACATCTGTCGTCCTTATCTCCCGTTCTTTTTTATGTTTATTAATCTCTTGTAACACCTAATCTTCTGGCGCCGTAAAACCTCGACTGAAACTAAACTAAAAATTTCAATTGTACTTCTCATCCCTGGCATTTTTGTCTTTCTCGTCCTCAGATGTCAAAGAAACCCCAGTTGGGATTTGCTGAGAACTTTGCCCTGTCAGGAGTAGCTGCTGTCATCTCAAAGACTGCAGCCGCCCCTATTGAAAGAATCAAGCTCCTCGTCCAGAACCAAGATGAGATGATCAAAGCTGGTCGGCTGTCTGAACCATACAAGGGTGTGGTAGACTGCACAGTGCGTACCTTCAGAACAGAGGGTCTTCTACCATTCTGGAGAGGTAACTTGGCCAACTGTCTGAGGTACTTCCCAACTCAGGCCCTGAATTTCGCTTTCAAGGACACAATCAAAGCTGCTTTCAAATCCTCTCCCAATGAATCGTATACCATGAAGTTCACCAAGAACATCTTCTCTGGTGGTGCCGCTGGTGCCATGTCCCTGTGCTTTGTCTACTCTCTTGATTACGCCCGTACTCGCTTGGCCAACGACGCCAAATCTGCCGGCAAGGGTGGCGGTGAGCGTCAATTCAACGGCTTGATCGATGTCTACAGGAAGACCCTGAAGTCCGACGGCTTTGTTGGTCTGTACAGAGGTTTTGTTATCTCCTGTGTGGGCATCATCGTGTACAGAGGCTTCTACTTTGGTTTGTACGACAGCTTGAAACCCATCCTGCTCAAGGAGGATGCTAGCGTGGTCCTCTCCTTCTTGCTTGGCTACACCGTCACCGTGAGCTCTGGTCTGCTTTCCTACCCCATCGACACCATCCGTCGTCGTATGATGATGACCTCCGGACAGGCTGTCAAGTACAAGGGGTCCATGGATTGTGCTGTCCAGATCATGAAGAATGAAGGTTTCATGTCCATGATGAAGGGAGCTGGTGCCAACATCCTCAGAGGTGTTGCTGGTGCTGGTGTGTTGGCTGGCTTTGACGCATTCAAAGATTTGTACATGTCATGGCGTGTTAGTCAGTAATGCTCTAGCACTTAGCTCTCCTCTTACTCAGACCTCACATCATTGATTGTTGACAATGAGTAATAATTTATGAGAACGTTGGTTGTTTTGGTTGTTTTGTTTTTTTTTAGATGGCCGCACTCTTCCTTGAGGTAGAGTATAAAGTTTTGTGACCACAGTAGGTTATTTTCAAAGTACAGTAACGTGAGAGTGGATTAAAAAAAATTTTTTTAGAGGGTGAGATGATGAATGTACAGTTGAAGCTTTTGGGGCCAGGGTGGTTTGTATTGATTTCCTCCTTTACACCATAAATCATTTGTCATTTAAGACATCTCATTTTATTTCGACAAAAGGCATTTTAGTACTCACATAATAAAAGAAATTCAGTTGTGTGAATTCAGATAACACTGAAGTATGGTTGTCAAAATGTTCTCTATTCGCAATTTTTGGTCAATGATTTGTTGTCAGATATTGTGAATACTGTTTAAAAAAGATTTAAGGATTGGAATGGAAGACTGCGCATTTTGGAACGTGAATATGTACACTTTGTGAACATTGCCTGCTGTTTAGAGCAAAATAAATGATGTAACTGTTTTTCCTATTTTAAGTCTTGTGTTTAATTATAATGCAATGTTAAGACTGCTTTCCTTTACTTTGTTTACTTCTGTTTTGTGGGGTGCAATTCTTGTATGAACATTTTTTTAAAAGAAAATGTGGCAATGGTGATTTCTAGCATGGGAAAGAGGTGACGGCATACTGCATTATATAATGATAGGAAGCGGTCTCCAACTACTCCAAGTGTCGCATCTTCTTTTAGAGAGAGGCTCAGCTCAGCACACACTCAGTCAGAAGTGTATGTTGTTTGGAAATGGCAGTATGACACAAATACTCATCATGGAAAGGACCCACAAATTGTGCAGCAGAATTGTAACTGGGCTGGTTATCAATATCATGCTTATACTGTGCCGAAACAACATAGGGGGAACTGCTGCCTTTTCTTTCCTCATCCTTGCTGTCGCCATTTTCCTCTATTCCTTTTGTATGTTTGTCACTGTCTTGTGAACTGCTATTTCCGGGATGCCTTGACAGCCGAAGCAGACTTTTGTGTTGTTGCAGTTGGGAGCACGGTAAAACCGTATTATAACGACGAAAAAAGTTGTCCGGTTCCCTTTTCAACACTGTAATTGTTGCCCTTGTGGTTTTGGTGTAGCAAATAACTGTAGGTCAAGAAGAACACTCCACTAGAAGTGTCATATTTGGGTGTTTTGTTGACATTCTTGTGTGGTCTGCCCCTGCTTCTTTTTCATTGTCAGTGTTTCTTTTGTATTTCGTCTAATTCTTCCTCTTACATTGTGCTGACTCACTGTTTCAACTCAACACGTGTTATGAGTCTATGTGAGTGATTGCAGGATGTCGCTATTAATGATTATTATTGGGGGCTGTTCGAATAAAATCTTACACCTTTTTTGCCCCCCCCCCCCCCCCCCTTACACTTTTCTTACATTTGCCTTTTCCAGCACTAAATTAATGACAAAATAATACATTGTTTTTTGTATCTGTAAAGATAAGAGCAGACTTTGGCCGTTGCTTGGGCAAAATTCAAAGTCTACCAGAACTGAAAATACAGTCGAACCTGCCATGACGGCCACTTTACTTTCCATTTCTCCGTTGCGTTTTTTCTATTTAACTGTAAAACGGGCACCTGTCCAACGCGGTCGCAGCCACCATATTTTAACACACTTACCCTATCACCAAACAATAACACCTGTCTTACTCTTAGTAGACAGCTACCATAGCGACTCCATTCACCAGGGGCATGGGTTGTGGGCGAGCCGTCATAGTCATAAGATAATCCAATCACCTGTCATTATTTTTAGGTATGTATGTGATGTAGTCCCTCCAACTGATCAAGTGGGTGGTTGGCGGGTGCTCTGGTGTGGTTTGCTGCTCCTTCTTTCTTATCAAACATCTATCGTCTTTATCTCCCCTTCTTTTTTATGTTTGTTACTCTCTTGTAACACCTCTAATCTTCTGGCGCTCATATGACCTTATGCAGTTGCGAGCGCCGTAAAACCTCTACTATAACTAAAACTAGTAAAACTAAACCACCAACCGATCCTGTTATGTAAGTCCCTCCCACTGTTGACCAATAGGAGGAAGGTGACACGTTTTCAGCTGCTGGTGAGGGAAGCGTGTGATCCCTTTACAACCCACAAGCCCCACCCAGACACGAATCGTAAGTGAAATGATGAGTGGTCACTGTTTACCCAGTCTGTGACAAAGCAACAATGGACGTCAACATGAGCTTGTGACTGAAGCGTTGCTCGTTCTCCGAGTGGTGGCGACCCATGTATTTGATTTACCGTAGCACTTGATCCTCTTTGTCTGACACATTTCGTTTTATTTTATTGTCACCCTTGCACAAAAGCAGTAGGCCTACATGTAACAAATTTAAAATTTAAAAAAAGAACAGCAACAATGCGGCTTCCTTCGGTTGGGACCTCAGAAAGGAATGGTTTTTCTTCATCTTGATCAGTCCTGCCTAAGACGAACACCTGTCTTATGCGGCCATTTTCTCCTTTACAGTGGGTGGTCGTCTTACACAGGTTCGACTGTGCATGACAGTGGAAACCATATTATATAACAGGCCCGGTAATAATGGTAATGACAGGAATTTTTTAAATCCCCGAATTTTCCTACTCTTTGTCTTCTATTAAAAGTTATCGGCAATAACATTAACAGGGCCCCATCGGAGCCCGACCGGTTATAGCAGTGACAAAGGCTCGTTAACAATGTGTAGTAAAAAGTAAGAGTAACGCAGTGATGGAGCAAGCCCTTGCAAGTGCAAGCCATGTCACTGCAAGCACACGCAGCGTGTGAAGCGAGAGAGGGCTGCGGTGTGCTGCAGAACTCGATTTAGCCCGAAACCTTGCAACACGCACGCGTAATGTGTCTACTGTCACTAACGATGTCAAGCGCAAGAGAAAATGCCTTTCAATTTCAATTGACAAAAAAATACGAAATAATCCAGGCTGTCGACAAAAAGTTTGAAAAACAAGCTCCACTGGCAGAGATTTGTAGTCAGTTCGACATTCCACAAGGGTCGGTTCACACAAAGATAGTACAAGACAAGATGGGCTACTCAGCCTAAAAAGTGTCCGCAGGAAGTATGCTCTTTGCTTCAGATGGCGCTGCAGTCTGTTTTGAAGCTCTCTTTCGTTTTTCCAGAAGAAGAATAGGAATAGCACCTCCTTGCGTGCGCAGATCGACTGCTGTTCATCAGCAGTTCGGGTACGTTCAGTGCGGAGTTTTAGGGTTTTTAAAATTTTAATGTCCTCTCGCCCTTCATTCTAAAGTCAAATTAAACGAAGAAAACCATCTCCTTTTCCTCCGGAAGAGGTTTTTTGTCAGCGTAACCATTTTTTAAAAAGCGTTCTTCCGAAATTTATCCCAAAACTTGCTAGTTTCACTTTGATTTTTTAAAACTCAAGTAGGGTAACTCTGTTCGCAAAGAGTGCGCTTTTGTGAAGAGGGCGCCACCAAATTTTGAGGATACTTTTTTAATTGGCTCAAAGAGAGAAGTGGCCCATCTTGTCTTGTACTATCTTTGGTTCACACCAGTATCAAGGATAGTGAGAAGATAGTGGCAGCATACTCCAATGGAAAGTTCGCTCTGGATCGAAAAAAGATGAGACTACCCGACTGATGCAGATGCTGTGGACCAAGCTCTTCTGATGTAGTTTAAGGAGGCAAGGAGAAAGTTGGTGCCAAAACCCCTGTTCGTGGGTACTTGTGGCAAAGGAAACTACCCATGAATAAGTACAGCTGGATTAGTCCACAAATGCTTACTTTCCTTGCATTTCTGATTTAATAGGGATCGGATATACCGGTAACAGGACATTTTCTCTACTCCCACCATCCCTGTCATATCAGGTTTCCACTGTACTCCAGTAGACAAATTACATATCGTGTATAGTAGATAGGCTACCTTTGAAATCAGAATGTAGCTACCTGAAGGCAAGGGGCCTTTAATTTAGTTTTAGTAGAGGTTTTACGGCGCTCGCAACTGCATAAGGTCATATGAGCGCCAGAAGATTAGAGGTGTTACAAGAGAGTAACAAACATAAAAAAGAACAAGGGGAGATACGGACAATATATGTTTGATAGGAAAGAAGGAGCAAACCACACCAGAGCACCCGCCAACTACCCACATGCTGTCTTTCACTTCAGCCAGACCCCAGATCTTATGGTGGGAAAGATCTACATCTGGCCTTCTCGTGGGCGAAAAATCTCGGAGGTCCCGTGTGCAAGTCTGGCCCCCCAGGAAATCGCGGTCTTGCGGCCACGATTTTCGTCGAGTTCCACAATAAACCCGCAATTTCTTGCAATTTTTGGCAAAATAACATCAACGCTTTAATTTTAACAGAATTTTTAATTCGAAATGGTGCAAGCACTGTAGTCTCCGCATAAACGCACGCTTTCGTCATCTGACGGTTTTTTTTTTTAGACGTACAAACGCACGGTCACTCCCTCTAAACGCACCCTCCGATCTGCGAAACACGCTGACAGGAAAAGCTTGACTAAGGAAAATTTTCACTACAACAAGCAAACGCAGCTGCACCAACTCGAAAAGTGGGCAAACAATAACGGTTTCAAGTTTTCCCCGTCGAAGACGGTTGCAGTACACTTCTGCCGAACAGGCAGACGTCTGCTGCAGCCGGATTTGACACTATACGGGGAAAGGATTCCCGTCCAGGACCAAGCTCGTTTCATCGGCGTTATATTCGACAAAAAAATCACATTCATACCACACATCAAAGACCTTCGTGTGAGGTGCCAGAAAGCGCTAAACGCTTTGAAAATTCTATCGCATCCGGAGTGGGGCGGGGACTCAAAACACCTTCTCCACTTGTGTATCTCCCTCGTCCGGTCCAGGCTTGACGGCTGTCAAGTCTACGGATCGGCAAACCACACATCTTAAAAATGCTAGATCCAGTACAAAACCAAGGACTCCGTCTCGCTCTGGGGGCTTCCCGCACTTCTACGGTGGAGAGCCTCCAGGCCGAGGCAATCATACCACCCCTTTTATTACAATACGCAATTAAACAGAGCTCAATACCGGAAAATCCAGCGCACAACCAACTGCATTTTTAAAAGAAACCCAGAAACCATAAACAATTTTATTCCAAAACAACGAAAAACTCATCAAACCCTTTGGCCTCAGAATCCTTGAGGACCTCAAAAACTTTCACTTTTCCAAACAAGACATCCAACTATTTCCTTTCCCCGACCTCCCTCCGTGGCACCTCACCAAGGCAAAAGTACCGACCTCCCTCCGTGGCACCTCACCAAGGCAAAAGTACCGAACTCCCTCCGTGGCACCTCACCAAGGCAAAAGTACCGACCTCCCTCCGTGGCACCTCACCAAGGCAAAAGTAGATTTACAGCTGACCACACACAACAAAGAAAGCACAAACACCAAAACTTTTAAAGCAGAATACAAAAAACTAATAGATCAATACCCCGGTGCGGAGCTCATCTTCACAGATGGCTAAAAAAAAAAAGACAATGAAGTGGGCGCCGCAGCCCTATCTTCCAACAGTACACACCAGAGGAGACTCCATGCTGAAGCCTCCATTTTCTCTGCGGAGGCCACTGCCATTGACATGGCACTGAACTCCGTAGAAAACTCTCATACAAATCTTTCCTTATCCTTTCTGACTCTCTGTCTCGCATCACCTCACTCACAAACTACACACTCCTAACATCCAAAAATAGTTAGGCTACAACAGAAAATTCATACACTATTCCGAAGCTGGAAAAAAACATCATGTTCGCATGGATACCTAGCCATGTGGGCATCCGAGGAAACGAGCAGGTAGACGACCTGGCGAAGAAAGCCTCATCCCTTCTGCTGGGATCAACGACGAACACTCTCCCTCGGACTGACTTTAGAATTAAAGTCAAAAAGTACACATCCAGTCTGTGGGAGAGCCACTGGGAAGAACAGAAAAACAATAAACTGTAGGCCCCCCTATGTTATAAAACCCAAACTAGAACAGCGAAATCCTTCGGACCTCCCCAGAAGAGACGAAGTCATTTTTACTCGATTGCGCATCGGACACACGGCCCTAACCCACAAATACCTCCTGCAGGGAGATGAGAAGCCGTTCTGTGTCGGATGCGACACAGATTTTACCATTAGACATATCTTAACCGAATGTCTAGACTTTGGAGAGATCCGAAAGCAATATTATAAATAATAAATGCAAGAAATTGCAAGACATTCTTTCCGTCATTCGTCCCAGCAGAATTTTGAATTTTACGAAGGTCACTAGCCTTTATGGCAAATTATAAAGTGAAATCGTCCTATTTACAACTTTATTGTTATTTACAAGAGTTGTTTTAAATTTAAAATATATTTACACCGAATTTTGATATTTTAGCATTTTAAAATTCAAAAGATAACCAACCGTGCAGTGAACTGTTGCGAATGCAAACAACTTGTGTTTCGCGCGCTCATATGACCTTAAGTTGCTAAAGATCCCTTACTTGGTGATCTAAAATCGATAAAAGTAAAAGTAAGAGTTTAGGCTGCCACCCGGACCGATTCCACAATTGAAAATGTTGGATCGCGCTCATCATATGACCACATGCAAGCGAACGCCGTAAAAGTAGTCAAACACAAAAAAACCCCAACAAAACGAATATCATGCATGAAAGTACGGGATTTCTGAAGGGGAAGTAACAAAAGCCAGTTTGCTGGGAAGGAATATTGATTTCGTGGATAATAATGATAAATACAAGTAATGGATTGCATTTATATAGCGCATCCACTTATGCAATGCTCTATGCGCTTAACATGAAACATATTATGGATTTACAAATCAATTTTAAAGGCACATAGTGTTACATACTCGTGCACACACATATTCACGCACGCACGCACCACACATACGTACATATGCACATACGCACATGTAAACTCACAACGATATACAGCTTGGATGGATTCTGTCTAATCGAAATATGATGAAAATAGAAATGCTTTTAGTTTCTTCTTAAACATTTCTAGATTTTCTGCTTCTCTGATAGTTTTTGGAAGCCTATTCCAAACAAGTGGGGCAAAATATGAAAAAGAGCGTTGGCCATATGATTTGGAAGTTATTTTAGGCTTAACAAGGGTTGTTTTGTCACTTGATGATCTGAGCGTTCTAGGAGGCACATCATCATCATCATCCAGTGCCAGATCTGTGACAGACATCGGTGATCATGGTTTTCCATTCACTCCTTTGCTCGGATGCTCTAAAAAAAACACTACGTTTCCCTGATCTTTTCCTGTTACCCATTTGTTTAGGTTCCCTAAGTAGGTTGTTCTGGGCCTACCCCTGCCTTGCTTTCCCTCAATTTTGCCAGTGAGAGCTAGATGTTCAAGACCCTTATGTCTATTCAAGTGTCCCAAAAACTGCATTTGTCGTTTCCTGATTGTTTTTAACATTGAGCGTCCCACGTGGTCTTCATCAAGTGATCAAGCACTACCTCATTTGATTTCTTTTCCGTCCACGATTCTCTTAGCAGTCTCCTAAGAAACCACATTTCTGTTGCTTCTATTTTATTTTCACTGTCTTTAGAGATTGTCCAGCATTCACAGCCATAGAAGGGTTGACCAAATGTAGCATTTCAGGACTTTCATTTTGGTGTTCATTGAGATGTTTCTATTTTTCAGGATTGGGTTAATTTTATTGAAACTAGCCTTAGCCATTGTAGTTCTCCTTTTTATTTCTGTGGAACATTTGGTGTCAGATGTTATCATATATCCGAGATATTTAAACTGTTGGACTTGTTTGATCTTTTCACCTTTGCTAATGAGATTACAACTAGTTGAACTAGGGTTTGCTGCTTTTTTGGATATTACCATGTATTCTGTTTTCTTTAAATTCAACACTAATCCTTTACGTTCATTTTCTGTTACAACAGTATCTACAAGCAATTGAAGGTCCTTTTCTGAGCCTGCTATTAAAACTGTGTCATCTGCATACCTGATGTTATTAATTTTTTCTCCATTTACTTTGAGGCCTGGACATTCTTCTATGTTTCTAAGGATTGTTTCACTGTACATGTTAAAGAGGTCTGGTGACATAACACATCCTTGCCTCACTCCTAGCCTAATCTGCTTATATTCACTATATTTTCCATTAATTCGTACAGCAGCGTTTTGGTCCCAGTATAAATTTCTGATAATTCTTAGATCTTTTCCATATGTGTCTAGCTTTTCCAGTATTTTAAACAGCTCATCATGTCTAACTTTATCAAACGCCTTTGAATAATCTATGAAACATAAATACGGATTTTTATGTGCTTCAATACATCTTTCCATTAACATTGTTAAGGTGGATATAGCATTACTGGTGCCCTTGTCAGGAACAAAGCCGAATTGTGTTTTAGATATCTCTGGTCTTACATTTTTTCTCAATCTTCCCATTACATGTATTACTCGCAGCAATATTTGTGTAAAATGACCCACAAGGCTAATTGTTCTATGCATATCACACTCAGTGGCACCTGGTGTTTTAGGTAAAGCTATAAAAACTGACTTCATCATATCTTCTGGGATCTCACCGCTGTCATAAATAGCATTTAGGAGCTTTGTGGTTATTTCAGTGCCTAGTTCTTCAAGCGCGACAATCACTTCAACTGGAATGTTATCTGGTCCTGTGCCTTAGGAGGCACATAGGGTGTTAAAAACTGTTTTAGATACATGTATTCCGGTGATAAATCATGTAAGCACTTGTAGCAAGTTAAACAGATTTTATATATGATACGCTCTTTCACCGGGAGCCAGTGTAATTCTTTTAAAATAGGAGTCACATGATCATGCTTTAGTTTCTTAACAATTATTTTGGCAGCAATATTTTGTACTCATTGTAGTTGTTGTAACTGATCATCAGGTACACCAGCAAGTAAGGAATTGCAGTAATCAATCCTTGACAATATAAGTGATGCTATTAAAGTTTTGGTGACACCAACAGATACATTTTTTCTAATGCTCCCTATTTCCATCAGTTGGAGATTATAGATTTTTACAAAAATTGGATACCGTACATGGGATTTCATTGACAAATCTTGATCTAGCACTACACCTAAATTATTTTTATTTTAGTTTGGGCTGATATTTCGTGGCCATTGATGTTTATTCTGATATTGTCGATTTCATTGCATTCGCTGCTACGAAGAAATAATATTTCGGTCTTATCCTCATTTAATTTTAATTTGTTCTTGAGCATCCATTTTCTTACATCATTGATACATCTGGCAATTTTATCTATGAGATTGTGTACATTGTCAGTTGTAGTAAATCCATAAAGCCGTGTATCGTCTGCATAAAGATGGTAATTGAGGGCATATAAAGACATTTTTTATGACAGACTTTGCGTGTACATTGTAAAGATGACAGGACCAAGGACCGAACCCCGAGGAACTCCGTATTTTAGAGGTAACCTACCTGACACATCATTGCCAATTTTTACTGACATAAATCTATTTTCTAGATATGATTTAAACCACATTAGAACAGTACCTGATAGTAAAAATTTCTTTTCCAATCTCTCTAGTAAAATTTCGTTGTCGGTGTTATCGAACGCCGCTGACAAATCAAGTAGAACCAAAACTCAGACTTTTTTATTATCGATTTTATTTAAAACATCTGATGATACCTTTAAAAGAGCGGTTTTCGTACTGTGGTGCCTTTTATGAGCAGATTGAAGAGGTTCTTCCATATCATTGGCCTTTAGATGTTATTGAACTTGACACAAAACGATTTTCTCCAGGATTTTTTATAAAAAGTTAAGATTGGAAACTGGCCTAAAATTTCTCATGTCGTTTTCATCAAGACCTTGTTTTTTAAGTACAGGTTTTACAATGGTTTGTTTGAAAAGATCAGGTACGATTCCAGTGGTGAGTGACATATTAATAAAACGAGTAACAAATGGTGCGAGATCTTCAATGCACGTAACTAACAATGAAGTGGGTATTGGGTCTAAGCGGAGACAAAAAAATACTAGTCATCTCCGGTCTAAGTCGCATGTTTTAGCGGGGGACTCTTTAGTCTTTGATATACTTAATGACATATTTCTCTGATACCACTTTAAATTCACTCAATGTTGATTTGTTCATAATTGCAAGATTTTCATCAACAACTATTTGTATTTACATCTAACATATCAGAGTCTAAATCAGTTTTTATTCTTTCAAAATTGTATCATTGAAAAAGTGCAGAAAATTACAACAAAAGTTCTTTATCAGTTCCAGGTGGAAACCGTGTACAATTCTCCCTTCCTAATAATTGATCAGATAATCGAAAAAGTTCCTTGCAGGAGTTTACATTTTGAAATTTGTTAAGATAAAATTGTTTCTTGTACTTTTCTATCACGGTGTTGACGTTGTTTCGTTCAGTTGCCAAAAATCTGTTTGTGGACGTGGAGGCCCGTCTTTCTAAGCTGTCTCTCCGCTTTCCATCGTTGTTTTTTGGCCTCTTTGATCTCGAGAGTAAACCACGGAGATGCTGGTCTTGGTGAGATGTTACGAGTGACTACGGGAGCTTGTTTGTCCAATGCATTGCGCAGAACTGACGAGCATTGATCTACAGAGGTGTCAGGAGTAGAGCCGAGAACGAAGTTTATATCCGATTTAAAAGATGAAACATCGAGTTGTTTCATGTTACGAGACTGAACACATTTTGATACGGTGTTTGGTTTACTGAGGTTCTAATCAGCTACAAGTAATGGGTGGTCCGAGATACCTTTGATGACCTCTATGTTCTTGAAAAGAGGTGCATTATTCGGCGTGATGATCAGATCAAGTGTATGTCCATGCTTTTGCGTTGGCAGAGAAATATATGTTGAATAAGATCGTGCTGTTTTAGAATATACATAAACTTTCATGTAATTGCACATGTTTGGTTGTCGTAGTGTATGTTCAGATCGCCACAAATAAAAAATGGTTGACTTCTCTGTCTTAAACAACATACAAGTTGGTTGAATTCTATGTAAAAAACATCGGAAAAGGCTTTCAGGGCAGTACAAATGGGAAGGAGGGAGATGTATACAATCCTTTGGCCATTGAAGTAAGGCAGTACTTGTAATTTGTTTCAAACATGAACTTCAAGCAAACCTAATTTTTCGTTTTTCTTCATTCTCTGTTTCGCATTTAATTTTCAGCTCGAATGTCATTATTCAAACATGATTGTGAGTTAACTACAATTTGATATCAAATTGAAATTTTGCATACAAATAGGCTACTGATTTGGAAGATAATGCTGCATGTCCTAAAACTCTAACTAAAGATGTATCATTTTAACGTATCTTTTTCTGCATGTCATGCATATTTATTAGCTTTTTTTTCTTCATATTTCAGCCATACTTCAACCTATAGTCTATAGGCTAATAGGAAGAAAACTTTTTCCTCAATATCTAGTTTCTTTTTAATTCCCGACCTGCATTGGGTATGGATGCCTATCAAAAAAGCTTTACTGAAAGTTTAATGAAAAATACAAAAAGTAATTAATGACCAAGAGTGTTTGAAGTGAACCCTATATTTTACTCGCGGCTGCCATTTTGAATGCATAATCTGCATTTTGTTTGGTCTTGTCCAAAAAATTCTTTATTGATGTATCACCATTGCCTTTCTCACCCTGAACAGGGTATAGGCCACGGGCTATCACTTTCCACACTTGTCTATCCTGGGCTAGCCTCTTGATGTTATTCCATGTCTTCCCACTTTTCTGTTGAAGGCAACATCAATTTCTGTGATTCTTTTCTAGGTTCCACGCTGTCTTCCCCTTGATCTTTTACTCTGTGGATTCCAATCCAACACTTTCTTTGTTATGCATTTGCCTGACTTCCTGAGAGTATGTCCATTCAATCGCACCGCCTTCTTCCTACCTCATCCCTGACTGGGATCTGTCTCGTTTTCCTTAACACTCCTGTTGGTGACTCTGTACATGATAGTAGGACATCTATATAGATATCTAGGTAAAATCAAACGTGGTTGTATAATGTCCCAAACAGCCTTCTTTGTTTCCTGCTACCTTAAATTAAAATAATAAAAGACGAAAAATACGAATGTCCCCACTAGAGGAACGAACATATGCAAGGGGCACCACTCTGCCAGCCAGCAGTCGCCCTTCTTCGTTTTTCTGCTGTGAATAGAAAAATGACTGTGTGAGTTGCCAGAGTAGGCTCTATTTCTATTGTTTCCACAACTGACCCAAGTCACAGAGTTGATTGCACTGTCACTTGTTCTGGGCCCTGTAGAGATAGCTCTGGACTTAGATCTACTACATGACCGAGAACATCCTGTAAAAAATGGTACAGTATTGTGTTTATATTCATTTCATGTTAGTAGGTAAGTAGGCCACCTGTGAGAATAGTGCAGGCGAGTCTTTTGGCTATTCTCACCCGGCCACCTCTATTCTCACCCGGAGTGAGAATAGTGCAGGCGAGTCTTGTGGCTATTCTCACCCGGTGCGCATTTACCAAATTTTGCGTTCACCCTAAACCACAGAATTCTACACTGTGATAACAGAAAAATTGTAGAATTCTGTGCCGTGAACAAACGTTCCATTACAACTGTAGCTTACTAAAAGCGTACAATTTTGTCTGTGGGCAGTGGAGAGAGAGAGAGAGAAAGAGAGAGAGAGAGGAGTAGCGCGAGAACCTCCAGTCAAAACAAAATGGTGACCCGCGTAGTTCGGCTCGATTCGAAAAGTTAAATAGCCGTAGCATCTTTGTAGACAACCAAATTAATTTACTTTTGTGTTTTAACATCATTTTTTAACTTTGTTTTGGTCAATTTGATCGTCCACACCGATAGACAATTCAGAAAGAGACAGAGAGAGATAGAGAGAGGGGAGGAGTAGATCTTGCGAGAACTTCCGGGCAAAACAAAATGGCGACCCGCGTAGTTCGGCTCGATTCGAACAGTGAAATAGCCATAGTCATAGCATCTTTGAAGACGATCAAATTAGCTTACTTTTGTGCTATAACGTAATTTTTTCTTGGCTTTTATCAATTTGATCATCCACACCGATAGACAGTATTCCAAAAGGAAGAAAAGCAGGTCTTGTTTCGCACCGGGTGAGAATAGCCTATGCTGGCAAGTCTCACCCGGGGTGAGAGGTAGATCGTTTTTCTATTCTCACCCCGGATGAGAATAGCCACTTCCTTCATGTTAATGTTAGGCCTCCTAAGGCCTGGGCTGGTGGAGCACCTGGGGTCTATTTTGGCTATTACAAAGCCTAGAGTGCCTAAATTTGCTGTGGGACATTGTGTGTTATTGAGGATTTGAAATCAATAGTTCGAAAAATAAATTGTGAATCGGTTGCTATGGAAACGGCGGCCATAGTGGATTATGTATACCTTAAATTTTATTTCAATCCCATTTTATTCCCGCCTTAGCCTTAGCCGTAGTCTATTTATTAACTGATTCACTTCTAATTTGGCATGCCAACATCTAGGTCTTAAATTTGGCTTGTTGAATGTCTGATATAGACTTATGCTTTAGTTTTTATTTTATGACATTTACAATTGGGTTGTTGCAAAAAAAGTGAAAAAAAAAGAAAAATTCATGTTTTCTAAGCCCGTAAATCAAAAACTACTCCATTTATCGAAAATTCAACAAGCCAAAATTTAGAACCAGATCTAGATCTAGGTGTTGTTGGTATCTTGTGAAAGTTACATTGAAATTGAACAAGAAACAGAGCAGAAAAGTGGGATAATGTGTGAAAAAATAGAATTGTGAGAAAACAGCCAATAACGGTATGAAAAGGTTGCAAAACATGTGATTTCGCCAACAAACCTGGAAAGAGAACACAGCTTTAGGGTGTAGCAAGACTTACATACATTTCGGGATATATTATTGTTCAAGAAATGTCCAGGTACTATAATATGTATGTAATAATCCAAATTTACTTAATTTGACCCCAAAACACGATTTTTAGGTGCCCCACCAGCCCTTAATGTATCTAGAATCTAGATCTAGATCTAGATCTAGTAGATCTTACTAGAATCTAGATCGCAGGACTGGCTCACATCGATCGAGTCATCCTAAGTCGTAAGGGAAATTCCGAACCATCCACGCCCTTGATGTAGGCCAAGGCTATAGGATATCTACTAGATCTAGATCTATTTGATTTTAACAGTATGATGATACAAACAGTTGTACAGTTGATTGAGAGCTATTATAAATTGTGTATGAATTTACGATAATCCGGTTTTGGCCCCCACAATAGCTTTGGCATGGAGTGTGGGTTTTGGCTCCACCGACAATTCCTTCTTGTTCTAACTAAACAATTACTTTTCGACACGCGTGCTGAATGATGCTTGACGCTCGGCGAGCAATAGATATGAAACCCAACTCAACTAACTGCAAAACATCAATTTATGGTTAAATTCTGAAAACCCCTGGTAAAAAAACAAGTGAAATATTAGATCTACC